CATCAATCCTTTCCGCATGTTTTATTTTCATTCACATGTATCTTAGAAAAATTTCAAGGTGGTTACCGAACATAGAATTACTCCAAACGAAACACGTTTAATTATAAAATTTTTATGATTGAGTCGCCGAAAATGAAAGTTGTTGGTATAAGCAGTAATTTTTTGTTTTTTTTAAGGTTTTCTTTTGGACGTGGTCCCAAAATCAATTGCTCCAAACAAACCACCTTAACCATGGAGCCACCAAACCAAAGGTGGTTAGTATAAATAGTAATTTTTAATTTTTTAAATCTTTCTTAGTCATCTTATCATCAAGATTACTCTCATTTGAATATGGTCTGAGTTCTCATGTAAAATTGTTCCAAACAGACTACATTTAACTATTGAGCTACCGAAAAAGAAAGATTGTTAGTATAAGCAGTAATTTTAAATTTTTAAAGTTTTTCTTAGATATCCTATTCTCCTAATTACTCTCTCGATCTTAAATTTATATACGAAACAAAACTATAGACCAAAGTGCATTTTTCCAAGGTCATTTCAGAAGCTTTAAAGATGCTATCATTTTTAGGGACTATTTTCTAGTACCAATCACAAAGCTAATTTTAATTTATGATTTGTGGGTCCCACGCAAAAATAAGGTAACAGGTTCCTAATTATATATATATATATTTTTTTTAAACTCAAATATCGTTAGTAATCTTTAATGTAGCTTTTTCATAAAATTTATATTATATAGTTCATTAATGTAATACATTTAAGCATCTAATTTCAAATAAAAAAAAACATATATTGGAATAATTCATAAATCATGCATGTATAGTAACACAATGGAGGCAATAAAAAAAATAAAAAATAAAAAAAAAAGGTGGGAAGGGAAATTTAAAATAATAATGGAGAAATAAAATTTACAAAATAAAATAAAATAAAAAATTAATGGATTATTGTTTGTAGCGATATTGAATTAAGAAGAGTGTAAAGGGCGTGCCGACCCGCACCCCACCGACAGCTTTTTAGGGAGACAAAAAGTCCACATTTTTGTTACGATGTTTTTGTATGTACCTCTCCCTATCTCTTCCCCTCCTACTTCAAAACTGTAATATTCAAATTTTTTATATTAATTTTAAATTTTGGGTACGTTATTTATTACGATTCTTAAATATTCTTAATTTTCATAATAAATTAAAAGGTATACGGCTAAGTTGTATCGTAACTCTATTAAATTGGTTGGATTATGTTTTAAAAAATTAGCTCAACCCAAATAAAAAATAATAATTGAATTAACTCTATCCACAAAAAAAAAAAAAAAAAAAAACCCTAAATTTGCGGGAAATATTATTTAAAAAAATTCCATAAAACCTTAAGTAGTCCCGATTGGGTTAAAAACTATTTTAAAAAACTTTATTTATCTACGTAACATATTATATTACTAAGATCTCATAAAACTTAAATATCAAACATTTATAAGACATAATACATCACTGACATCTATTATAACTATTAAATATTCTTAATTTTATAGAGCTACATTGGACGGTAACCCTATTTTCAGATTGGTCTGATTATGTCAACCCGCAAGCCAACTTACGTTTTTTCGATTTTTTCCAAAAATTAATTCTAACCCAAATGAAAATAATAGTAACTCAATCTAATTTTTATAGTTTGAATTAGGTAGTCCATATTGGTCGAGTTCTCGAGTCTCGTAAACAACTCTATCCACAAAAAAACAAAAAAACCCTAAATTTGCCGAATAATCTCATAAAACCCTAGGTAGTTCAGATTGGGTTAACAATTATTTAAAAAACCTTATTTATAAAACTCAAATATCAAACATTTAACATCTATAAGACATAATATATCACTAACATCTATTATAACTATTAGATATTCTTAATTTTACAGAGCTAAATTAGATTATAACCCTATTTTCGGGTTGGTCCAATTATGTCAACCAGCAAGCTATCTTAGGTTTTTTTTTCCCGATCTTTTCAAAAAATTAGCTCCACCCAAATAAAAATATCTTGGCTCACAAAAAAAAAAAAAAAAAAAAACCCTAAATTTGCGGAAAATACTAAAAACCCTTTTAATTTAAATTTTCGGAATTAAGCTGTAATCCAGTTTAACAAACCAATTGCTTTTGTTTTTGGCCCTAATTATGAAAAGTGGAAGTTATCATTACCCCAATGCACAAATTTATTAATTTACTCCAACAAGAAGACAATTTTATTTATATTATTTATTTATTTAATTAACAAATTTCAAGAAGACAATTTTATTTATATTATTTATTTATTTAATTAACAAATTTGGAGAGTAGTTTTGATCATCCGGTGGGTATTAATGCGAAGAAGATGATAGTGATATCAGTTTATAAGACTTTATGGAAGAGAAGCATATTAAAATTATAATAAATCAATGTCCCAATCCTACCAATCATTTTTTACCAATATAATTAATTCATTACCACTCTTATTATGTCTCAATTAATATCAAGAATGTTCTCATTAATAATGTCTTACCTTTTATGTACTATGCTTATTTCCATAATTTCATTCAAATTATTGGTCACATAAAATTTCATATCTTCAAATTTGGAACATGAATTCAGGAACGTTCTCTTGTCTTTAATTACCTTAAAGTTTGAAAGCTATTCCCACAAACTAACGCGGAGTCCTTTTAGCATATGTTGTGACACTAGAGTAAAAGAAAGGTATGTACATGAATGAACACGAGTCTTTTTCACATATCACCCGTTAACCTCACAGTTTTAAAATGCGTATACTAGAGAGAGGTTTCCACACCCTTATAAGAAATGTTTCATTCCCCTCTCCAATCAACGTGAGATTTCATAATCCACCTCCTTGGGGCCCACTCCGCCCTGTATCTGGCTCTGATACCATTTGTAGCATCCCAAACCCATCACTAGCAAATATTGTCTATTTTGACCCGTTATGTATCGATCTTAGCTACACAATTTTAGAACGTGTCTATTAGGGAGGGGTTTCCACGCTCTTGTAAGGAATGTTTTGTTCCTCTCTACACCCAATGTTGAATCTCACCAAATGAGAGAAATTCTAAAGATAAAATGACTAAAAAATACTCGAAAGAAATGAAAACTTAGATCAATAAAGTACGACTTTCTTTTCGATGGTTCAATCATAAGAACTTCATGGTCAACTTTACTTGACTCAATTCTACATTGGGTGACCACTTGAAAATTTTTCTAGGATGCACGTGAGTAAGAACAAAACATGCAAGAAAGACAACTCGTGCTTAATACGCTCTCATTTACTCTGATGTCACATCAATTAATAAATCATTTTTATAATTAATAGAGAATTAATAATCTAGACCTCTCAACTTAAACCTAATTATATTAGATTGATAAAAATATTTATCGAACATCAAACGCATCGTAATCACACATTTAGTCTTCTTTTTCAAAAAAAAAAAAAAAAAAAATCAAACTAATTACCTAATCTTGTTGATTACTTCAAGAATACAATTCTTTTTAATAGAATATTGATTTAATGACAAATTTTCAAACTGCGTAATATCGTCAATGGTTAAGGAAGTAATACATAATTAGTCAGAATCTTCCATCTAATTAAAAGACTTAATTACCTAATACCTAAATTAAAATATAATTAATTAAGTGAAAATATGATTAAAGCCAAGAAAAAACATTTTATTATTTTATTATTAAAATAGAATATTATATCAGAAAAAACCCACATTTTTTTAAAATTTTATTTTAATATAAAGTCGAATACATTGAGCCCTTGATTAGGGGTCTAATCTCCACCTAACAAAAATTAAGGTTGGGCCATGAGAGAACGACAGAGGAATTTATCGCATTTAATTATTTTCCCACCCAATTAATACACGTGGCATACAGTATTTTTTTTTTTTTTTTGAAGAAATTAAATAATATTAAAATAAAAAATAATAAGAAAATGAGGATTATACGTAGATTAAACTTGTTTAATTAAGTAATAATTAATCTAAAGTGCACCAGACAAGACCAACTTAATCATGCACCTCTCTTTTAAAAAAGAAATTGAGATGCTCTGTTTTTATGTGAACCGGGTCCACCAAATTTGGTGGTAAGATCCGGGTCTCCTTTTATTTAATATTACATGTAATTCAATCCAATAATAAATAAATCAATAAATAAATCAATAAAAAGCAGTAAAATTCATATTATACAATAAAATAGAATGGAAATGGGTAGGGACGCTGTATTTGTTTACATATTAATGGCGCCCTCAGTTGAATCCCTTTTTGTATTATTTAAAGTTGGTTACTTGGAACCCACTCTAAATTACCCGTCATACTTCTGGTTCAAATATGGTATGCTTTCACCCGTTATATATAGTCATCAGCTTCATGATTTTAAATCGCTTCACACTTTTATAACAATGTTTCATTCCCCTCACCTTAGACTCTACCCTTCTTAGGGTCCAGAGTCAGCCTCGTAGTTTTGAAACGCGTCTACTGTAGAGAGATTTTCACACACCATGTGTCTACTAGGGAGAAGTTTTTACGCCCTTATAAGAAATGATTTGTTCCCCTCACCTTACCCTTTACCCCTCTTAGAGTCTAGCGTTTGTCTCATGGTTTTAAAACGCGTCTACTAAATAGAGATTTTCACACACTTATAATAAAAAAATACTTTGCTCCCATTGTCCTCGCTGACGGATTTTAAAATGCGTCTAATAGGGAGAGATTTCCACACTCTTATAAGGAATGCTCACAATCTACCCTTTTTGGAGTCTACCCAGTGTCGAGCTTTGATACCATTTGGGTTTTTTCTTCCGAGCTTCCCCTCAAGGTTTTAAAACATGTCTACTAGGGAGAGGTTTCTACACGCTTATAAGGATTATTTCGTTCTCGATGCTCGAGAATGGGGAATTGGATTAGTTTACTTGGTTTCAAGTAAGAGTGAGCAGAATTGGTTAAGAAGTATAAGGGGGAAGTCTTTGTTTTGAAAGATTAGTGGAGCAGAGGAAATAATTGAAGAGCTCTCTGTTCCTGTATATATAGCAAGAATCTGCTCCATTTCCACTCACCCACCCACCTGAGACTCCATTTTTCCCTTCCTTTCCTTCTCCTTCCTCCATTAGTTTCCCGTCAAGCTTGCAACACAAGAAAGGAGGTATGATCCTATTTTTGTTACCCTTTTTTATACATCTTTAATGCATTCTTCTCTTGGCTTCTCTTCCTTTCATTTCATTGTTTGTCGGTCGTCGAGTTTCTTTCGTTTAAATGAATGAACCCAACAATGGTTCTGGATTTGATCAAAGAAAAACGCCGCCGCTCACTGACCTGAACGACGGCAGCGATAGAGAAGTTTCAGGGGGAAAAGACAATACGTTACTTGGATTAATCTGTGGTCTTCGATCTGTCTCTGCCTAGAAATTTAACGCCGTCGGAATTGCTCTGTTTTTTCTCTGTTTTTTCTACAGGAATTAATTGCAGAGATAATTATGGAAAAAGAAGCCGATTTCTCTCGTTGTGGTTTTATGAGAGGGGTTTTCCAGCGACGGTGCAAATGGTTGAAGAAAACCTCTGTGCATTCATTACCCACAAACAACACCGAACCAGTCGACTTAAAAGTACCCAAAACAGAGAACCCAACAAGGAAGAGCCGGAGCTCTGTTTCCGACGATGCGCCAACAGCCAGAAACTCGGTGGAACAAGATCAAAAGACACCGAAAAAGCCCACTTTGGATCAACCAAGGCCGTCGATTTCTCAACAAAAGAATCAAAGTCGACGACCTTCCGATGCTGCAAGAAGCTCCACATCGTCCTCCAATGGCTCTGCGCAAACCAGAGCGATGAATTCTCAGCAACAATTGACCGAACCCAGAACCCACATCCGAACATCTTTAAGTAATGGCGCGGTTTTGGGTAATTTGAAGCAAGCTGGAGGTGGGAATCTGTCGGCAAACAACAGTCCAAGGCTGAAAGAGATGAACTCAAGTCCAAGACTTGGAGGTAATAACATGGGGAACATAATTCGGAGAAATTCATGTGAATTCCGACAGATTCAAGGCGTGAGAGGTAAATTAGAGCCGGATGTTTTGAAATCCATGGGAAATGAGGCATACAAAAAGGGGAAATATGAAGAAGCATTGGCTTTGTATAACAGAGCAATAGATTTGGATTCAGAGAACGCCGTTTACTACAGCAACAAAGGAGCTGCTCTGATTGGCTTAAACCGTTTGATGGAAGCCATTGAAGAATGCAAAAAAGCATTAAAGATTCAGCCTTCTTATCAAAGAGCCCATCAACGTCTAGCAACTATCTACCTCAGGTAATAATACGAATCTCTGTTCTTATTTCTGGGTTCAAAACTTGTCCGCCATTTGGAAGCTCAGCCACCACGAATTGCCATTTTGCTTATTACAGAACTGGAGAGCCTGAGAAAGCACTGGATCACATGGAACAATCCGGCCCTTACAGTGACATAAACGACATGAACAAAGCTCGTGCACTTCAGAGTTGCCTGAGTAGGTGTATTGAAGCAAGAAAGTTACAAGAATGGGACACTCTGTTCAAAGAGACCAATTATGCAATTTCCTCTGTTTCTTATTCAGCTTATAAACTCTATGCCCTGCAAGCTGAGGCATTGTTGAAGCTCCATAGACATTTAGAGGCATATTCCATTTACCAAAAGGGTCAAACCCTGATGGCTAACACTCTAACCAAGTCATTTAGTGTATCTGATAGCTCCCTTATTTTATCCATCGAGGCACAAGTTTACATGACCATGGGCAGGTTAGAAGAAAGATATCAAAATGATCATCAAATTATGACTTGGGAACTTCGTTTCAGTGAGTAATAAGTTTTGGGGTTTTGTGAAATTCTTTACAGGTTTGAGGAGGCAGTGGAAGCAGCAGAAAAATCAACACAGCTTGATCCAACCAACAGGGAAGCAAGTAGAGTGGCAAAATGGGCTAAGTTCATTTCATCAGCTCGATTGAGAGGCAATCTACTTTTCAAGGAATCTAGATTCTCTGAGGCCTGTATTGCGTACAGTGAAGGATTAGAAAACGACCCATATAACTCAATTTTGTTATGCAATCGAGCTGCTTGTCGATCGAAGCTCGGTCAGTATGAAAAAGCTGTTGAAGATTGCACTGCGGCTCTCCACGCACAGCCATGTTACAGTAAAGCCAGACTCCGCAGGGCTGATTGCAATGCTAAAGTAAGTAACTTTTGCCTCAAAAGAGCTTCCTTATTTGATGCCATTAAGGTTGTTTGTAAAGATTTGTCCCAATTTTGTGACCAGATGGAACGATGGGAGGCTTCAATTCAAGACTATGAGGTTTTGATAAGAGAAACACCAGGAAATGAGGAAGTGGGGAGGGCTCTGTTCGAGGCACAGCTTCAACTCAGAAAGCAGCATGGGGAGGACGTCAAAGACATGAAATTTGGGTCCAATTTGGTGTCTATTTCTAGCTACGAGCGGTTTAGACACTTCGTTACTTCTCCTGGTAAATACTTGCAGCAGAAAAGTGATGCATCCATGTAAAAAGTTGTCTGTTTTTTGAAGTTTTGAATTGGCAGGGATGTGTGTGGCTCTGTTCTGCAACAAAGGAAACCAAAAACAGGGGTTGGAAGTGTTGGAGCAGGTTTACAAGAGGTTTCCATCAGTAAACTTTCTCAAGGTAAGAATCTACTGAGTACTTAGTTCAGATTTTGAAGTTAAAATGCTGAATTTGGGAGAGTTTCAGGTGGAGATAGAAGATCATCCTTATTTGGCGAAGTTGGAGAAAGTGAGCGCCATTCCAGCTTTTAAGATATACAGAAATGGAAGAATAGTGAAGGAGATTGCAGCCTCTGGACCCCATTCATTAGAGAGCTTAGTGAAGATGTGCAGCAGTTGAGTTGAAGCAGAAGCTTAGAGAAACAGAGGAAAACCAGAAGATTTGTTTTTGTTTACAACAGATTGGGGTACTCCAATGGAGTCGCCGCCATTGGGCTTTAGACAACCCTTTATTGGTTTTGTTTTTTGAGGTTTCTTTCTTTTGTTCATATGTATATATGATTGATGAAATTGGAATGAAAAAGACTTTGTCTTGCTTTGGCATGGGAACGATTTAAGGATGGGTATATGAATGGACCGAAACCATATAGCGATCTTGGGAATACGACGGTTAAGAAAGACTTCGAAAGAATTGAAAGTCACTTTCTATACGAACATGGTGCACTTTCCTTTTCGATGACTCAATGGTTAAGTGTGAGATCTCATATCGGTTAGAGAGGGGAACGAAACATTCCTTATAAGAGTGTGGAAACTCCTCCCTAACAGACGCGTTTTTCATGAGACTGACTGCGATACGTAACGGGTTAAAGTAGACAATATCTGCTAGCAGTGGGTTTGGAGTGTTACAAATGGTATCAAAGCTAGTCACTAAACAGTGCGAGACACTAATCGGAGTAGGGCTAGATGCTCTCCATAATAGACACATTTTAAAACCGTGAGGCTAACGACGATGCGTAACAAGCCAAAGCGGACAATATTTGCTAGCGTGGGTTTGGGCTATTACAAATGGTATCAGAGCTAGTCACTGGACGATGCAAGGCACTGGTTGGAGTAGGGCTAGACCTCTTCTTAAAACCGTGAGTCTGACGGCGATACGTAACGGGTTAAAGCGGACAATATCTGCTAGCGATGGGTTTGGACTGTTACAAATGGTATTCAGAGTCAAGTCATTGGACGGTACGAGGCACTAGTCGGAGTAGGGCTAGACCCTCTCCATAGTAGACGCGTTTTCAAACTATGAGGCTGACGGTGATATGTAACGGATCAAAGCGGAAAATATCTGCTAGCAATGAGATTGGACTGTTACATTAAGTGTACCATCTACCTAGGAATTGTCTTGAGATGTATTTGAGTGAGGACGAATTGTGCTTGAATAACTCATATTGGTCCATGAGAATAGTCTACAATCTTAAAAAGTGAAAAACAAGTAACGTGACCATGTCGTGTAGAAGAATGTCAGAGTCATCGGAGGCCAAATTCGGATATCTAAACCTCACGTATATCTAAACAAATATATGTGTGGAGAGGGGGATTGGTGAGTTGGGAATATTAGGTGGATCCATGCATGAGGATCTCCATATTAACTCCAATGCAGAGGCGTTACACCTTCCTGCTAAAACATCTGCCTCTCTTTCACAACTTCTCTAAACTTTTCATCTGTATTCACTTCATTGATCAAAACAAACACGCAAAAGAGAATTTGATTTGACTTCGTTTTACAATGGACAATTAGAGCCAAGATCTGTGGGTAGAGCTGTAGCTGCTCAATCCAAGTCTGGACCCACAGGAATTCCCTTTTGTTTTTTACTCTCATTTGGATTCTTTTCAAGAACTTCTCTCATATCTTCATTTCATTACCTTGATTCCCACAACAATTCTCTGTTCTAAAGCAATGGAGGCTCAAAACCATGCCACTGATGAATCTGTCTCCTCTGGGCCTTGTGTGGATTTTCAGCTCAACTTCAAGAACAACCCAAGTAACCATGATACCACTTCTGCCAATTCCTCTAATGTTAGTTCTTTTCTTGCCTTCAAAAGCTTCATTTTGGTTGGTTTAATCCATGTTTAAGTGAGTTCGTTGATGTTTGAATGATCAGGTGGGCTTGGGATTGGAACTGGGATTGGGAGCAGCTCATTCAGATCAAGATAGCTATCATCAAGCCTATCAAAACAGTAATCCAGGCCTTGGAAACTTCTCTCCTCTCCAGGATTTGTCTCTGTAGGTCAAATTCTTCGTGTTATTTTGATTAAATCTATGAACTTTAGGGAACGATCACGGGTTTATAAGCAAGGAATACATCTCCCTTGATATGAGACCTTTTGGAGAAACCCAAAGTAAAGCCATGAGAGCTTATGCTCAAAGTAGACAATATCATACCATTGCAGAGAGTCATGATTCCTAACATAGTATTAGAGCCATGTCAATAGAATTTTCAAATGTCGAACAAAGAAGTTGTGAGTTTTGAAGGTGTAGTCAAAAGTGACTCAAGTGTCGAACAAAGGGTGTACTTTGTTCGAGGAGACTCGATTAAGGGGAGGTTGTTCGAAGGCTCCATAGGCTACGGGAAGGCTCTGTAGCATACACTGTTATTGGATGAAATCTATGAACTTCTAACAAATTTATATGCTTATTATGAACTTTTCTTTAGATCTCTTAACATGCGTTCCACCGGCACCAGCCCACATCGCATCAACATTACTCACGTTTATCAGAACTGGGTAAGACGGCAGCAGGCACACTCCCACAATCCCATGCCTTTCAGGTATTCTAAGTTTTCCAAGTTCATCAAATTCCTTATTTGAGAATGGAATTGGTTCATATATGTTGTGAAACATCTTAGGCTGCAGTCCAGGACGAATTCGTACCATGATGATCGACCCGAAGCACCAAAACCTAGAAAGGTCAAACCTTTTTTTAAACCATCAGTAGAACTATGTTCAAGTTATCATCTTTCTGATCTTTCTTACTCATATTTTGTTAGAGAGCTCGAGATGATGATGCTGCTCTAACGCATTGCACCATTAGAGAGTCGTCGTCGTCACAGACTTCTCTATACACGAAGGTAACACATTTACAAAGTTTGTATTTACAGAGAAAAAGTTTTATGGCAGAAAACTTGTAGGGTGGAACTGGGAAATTTGGGAGAATGAAGAATCAATCGGCTCATGTTTCGTCTTTAATTGCTGCGAAGAGGAACCCATCGGATGGCAGGTTGTTCTTATTATTAACCTAATTGATTGCTTCAAATTTCTTATTATGATTAAATTTTGGTTAATTTCTTCAGGCCTACCAACTCTGTTTATGATACCATGTTTGAAGAAGTTGGTCTACCAATGGATCCTCATCTCCGCCTCTTTTCCCCCCTTTAATTTTCATGATCTCTTATATTTATATCACTTATGTACGAACAATTTTACTCCATTCGAATGACGCACTTCATAGATTGATACAAGTTCACGATTTTCCATGTATGTTGAGTTTATCTCCTTTCGTTTTCTTGTAAAGTTCATGTTGGACTGTGCTATCTAACGAAAATCATCATACTATTAATGGCTCATCGACTAAGAGGAAAAAAAGATAGATGGGTCTTTGGATTTGCCTCTCTAATAGACACATTTTTAATTTGTGAGGTCGACGGTGATACATAATGAGCTAATATCTACTTATGGTGGACTTGAGCGGTTACAAGACCTCAATATCAATACTACCAAAAATGGTTGATTTGATTTAAAAAGAAAAGAAATTCATGGGTTGGTTTGACTTGGTCCCCCAATCACATTACCAAACAGCGACCGAGAACCGACCAAGTTCAACATCGTCCGGCGTGTCTATTAGTGGGCCCCATTGACATCACAAAGTACCCACTAACAACCAATAACATCCTTCCATTTTAAAACCTGTTTCTCCCCAATATTCCACGTGGATTAACTATCCTACTTGAACTGTCCTGTTTTCTGGGATTCCGATGCTCTGTTTCATAAATCTTCGTGAGTTTTCTCAGCAACCAAACAAAACAGTGAACCAGTTTCAGCTACATTGTATGTGGTCATCCCTTTGTCTATATAATTCGATGGGGTGATTTTATAATTTAGCTTTGTGGGAAGAACAAGAAAGATCTGGAGCAGAACAGAGGACACGAGGTAGAGGTACCATTATGAGATGTTTTGGATAATGCTTAATGTGTTATGATCTTATGATCTTTGTTTCATGTCTTGATATGTTCTTATGAAATCCCCTTCTCAAGTTCCACTTATTGAGTGTAAAGTTTTAACTCTGGGATCAGGTTGGGGTTTCCTTATTCCATTCTTGTCTCATACTGCCATTGTTGGCTTCATGGAGGACTGCCGTCGCTATTGCTCTCCAACTCAAAGGATAACAGCCCAAGTCTATCACTCCCCTACATTGTTTTTTTTAGATTTTTCCTTCCAAACTTTTCGACCTGGGGAGAGGTTTCCACACACTTTATAAGGAATATTTCGTTCTCCTCTCTCACCGACATGGGATTTCACAATCTAACCCTTTGGGAGCCTAGCGTCCTAGTTGGCATACCGCCCGGTGTCTGGCATTGATACCATTTGTAACAGCCCAAGCCCACCCTAGCAGATATTGTCTTATTTGGATTTTTCTTTCAGGCTTCCTCTCAAGGATTTTAAAACACGTCTGCTAGGGAGAAGTTTCTACGCCTTTATAAGGAATGTTTCGTTCCCCTCTCTAACCGATGTGAGATCTCACACAAAACTTTCTTGAAAGAAAGTTCAGTAGCCATTTTTTGTGTCAGTGTTCTGAATCTCTTGTTTGCCATTGCAATTGGAACAAGGAAATGATAGCAATGGGGGTCATGAATGTTGTTGGTTCAATGACTTCCTGCTATGTAGCAACAGGTTAGAAAAGAAACAAGAGCAAACTTCTCAGAACAAGAGCCTTATTTGACTGCCAAGTATCCTAAATATCTTGTTCTATTCACAGAATTATGTATCACCTAATACAAAAATGGAATTAACACAAATCGTCACAGCGTTTGAAGTTGTTCTTTAGAATTTAACCCCAAAAAAAGTTGAAGCAATCATGCAAAACAAGGCAAAGCCACCATAGAGAATGTGGCCCTAATGGAAGGGAAATTTGAATGAATACCCACATGGTCATAAATGATAATTAATCAATGGAATCCAACAAAAAAAGCAATAGAACAGAGAAGGATTGTAGGAGTGAGTGAGTGAGTACAGAACACAATCGAGGGGCTCCCCCACGCACATACAAACACACACAAACAGTGTAATATACGAAGTACGAACCTAAAAGCCAACTGTGCGCTCTGTTGTAATAAAAACAAAGGGGCTTCTGAGCTGCTGCTGCTGCTGCTGCTGATGCTCCTGCTGCTGGACGTCGGTGGAGAGCATCAAACGACAGTTGGCTGGGCGCTTGCATTTTTGCGTCTCCCCATTTCCCTATTCCCCAATCCACTGTCGACACCGCTTCGAGACGCTTGTCGACTCGTGGGTGCAGATGATCGATTCGCGGGAATTTCTCTACACGCAATTAATTTTTATTCTTTACCATCACAATTTCTGGTTATAGTCAAAATTTTAATCTTTGTTCCTTTTATATAGGAACCATGTAAAGATGCACATTAGGATAAGAATATGAGCAACTTACATAAAATTTAAGGCCATATTTATAGTCTTTTTTTTCTTTCTTATATTTTCTTTTTTAAAAAATTGTATTAAAAAAAAGTTTAATTAATATATCACTTATCTAGAGTGTTCATAAGATTTGATAACCTTATTCGAGGAACACGGTCTCTCCAATGTATGATATTGTCCACTTTGAGTATAAGCTCTCATGGTTTTATTTTGTGCTTCCCAAAAGGCCCGAGACCAATGGAGAGAGTATTTTTTGTTATAAATCTACGATCATTCCCTAAATGAGCCAATGTTGGACTTTCATCATCCAACAAACCTAATCAACTCCGACTACTCCATCTTAACTATAACCAATGTTGGGCTTGACATTGTTTTACGACTCCCTCAAGAATACGGTTACACCCCTCCCTATTTTACTTTTAAAAATATTGAGAATATTCAACTTTTGTTATCAATTTTATTGATACGTTGTCAAGCATTAGTATGAATCACAGATAAATAATATTTATTTATTTATATTTTTTTAAAGAAAATAACAACCTAACTCAAAACTAGAAAATTGAGTTAAATAATTGGGATACATAAATAAAAATAATAATAAAAAAAAAGAATTATAAAATGTGTGGTGGTGAGATGTGTGAGAATTAAATTAAAAAGTATAATCACTTTTAAAGTGAATATCTTCCCTCCAATTTGAGCAATATGTGTTGTCTTTTGTTATGCGATGTGGGCCCCAATCCATGGCATGCTGACAAGGCCTCAGATTCCCTCATTAATTAAATTTAAACACAATAATTAAATTATTTACCCAATCTGGAATAAACCGGAGCTGGTTTTTCATTGACTTAACTCCTCCTCTTCCTCTTCCTCTTCCTCTTCCTCTTCCTCTTCCTCCCTCTTCATTATATTATACAGTTGACTGTTGGATTAGATTCAAATACACCCAACGCATCAAATGTTCATATCTTAATTTCCTCAAACCAATTAATCCCAATAATCAAGTAACAAAATTAAATCATTTCCAAAAACCCATCAGTTTCTGGGAATTTTTCTTCATACATAGAACAGATACAACGCCGGAAACAGAGACATCCATTAATCACGACTATGAAGCAGCTACCGTTTCTCCCTTGCCGGAGATCTGGGTCTGAACGGCCACCGATTTAGAAACCACCACCGCCGCCGCTGCTGCTGCTTTCTTTGAAGCTAAACTGCACTTCTCGATTCGTTCGTCTTGTTTCATTTGCTTTTGTCTACATTCGTCGCTGCAAAATCCCCTGTCTCCCCTGAAAAGCAGAGTCCATTTTCAAAACCCATATTGTAAAAATCGGATTGGATTTAAATTGATTTACCTGTACATGTAAATATCGCGGCCAGGGACGAGAGGGCGAGTGCAAAGAGAACAAGCTCTGAGGAAATTAGCGTTGTCTTGTAGTAGATCAACTGAGTGGCGTCTGTAATTTCTTGGGGACACCATTTTTTGGGTGTTTGTTGAGTAACCAAGCGACGGCGGCGGTAATTGGTCGGTGGCGGAGCTGCCCAGATCGAAGGTGATCTCCGTCATGCTCGGCGTGCGTTTCATCGGAGCACGTGATCTCTTCCCCAAAGACATTATTTTTTAAATAATTAATTTCCAAAACCAGAATCACAAAAAACCGGTTCTGGTTTCTGAAGGAGGAAGAAGAAGAAGAAGAAATGAAGGGGAGGGAGAAGTGGAGGAGGAGGAGATAAAAAAGAGAGCCAGCAATTGAGGAACGAATCTGGTCCGTTCATTACAATCGAGAATGACGCGTGTGAATAAATAAATAGAAAATAATAAGGGATCCACGTCAGCCTGTCAATTTCAAAAATCAAATAATTTGTAGTTTTACTTGGAAAATCATTTAATGGAGTTGTTTTAAATTATTGAGCTCAAGAAGGGTATTTCCGTAATTTCACCTCTCTCTCTCTCTCTACAAGTGTTGGGAATCCGAGGAATGAAAAGTGGCAGTAAATTTCTTGATTTTTTTTTTTTTTTTTTTTTTTACTGCAGTGAAAGCAGACAATAATGGAAGTAATTTATAGTTTTAAGTGAATATTAAGACATTAATCACTGGCTAATTAATCTAATGTATAAGGTGTATGTGAATGATGTTGATGGAATTAAGGAGGAATATAAGGTCCACTAAATTAGAGTGGTCCATTTATAAACTTAATACACTTCGTAGACTCACACATGTGGAGCACAGCTCACTTGAAGTTGAGGTTTCAGATTCCAATTATTGTTGTGTTCTTTCTTCTGCATAATTCTCGCAATAAACCGCTTTCATTGTGCAAGCAAGCAAACTGCGATTCAACGCTACACCGCTTTTGCGTCTTTTTTTTTTCAAGGAATCTTTTATCTATCAACAACGACATGTATTGCACGGTGAATGTGAAGAAGTAGACCATTATCTTGGCATGCTCCAAGTAACAATCACTGTTATAAAGAATGTTTCGTTCCTCTCTCCAACCCATGTGAAATCTCATAATCCACTCCCTTCCAAACTCAGCGTCCTTCCTGGTACACTACCCAGTGTCCATTCCAAACTCAGCGTCCTTCCTGGTACACTACCCAGTGTCCAACCCCTTTCGGTGTTCAGCGTCCTCCCTGACACACCGGATATCCACCAACGAGACCCAGTGTCCAACCCCTTTCAGTGTTCAGCGTCCTCCCTGACACACCGGATATCCACCAACGTCGCGTCCTCGTTGGCACATCGCCCAAGCCTATCAATAGCAGATATTGTTCTCTTTGAGCTTTTCCCTTTCGGACATCCCCTCAAGGTTTTTTATTTTTTTTCTAAAACAAACGCGTCGGCTAGGGAGAGGTTTCCACACCCTCATAAAAAACTCCATCTCCGAACGGGCAAAGAACCCATCGTTATCTTGATTGCATTATTAGAGGCTCTAGAAAAGTCGAAATTGAAACTAACATAAAATAGGTATCATCGACCGAAAGTAAAGTAAGGTGAGTAAAAATTGAGGTGAAATTTATGGTGGGGAAGAATGGTTTGATAGGGGTGAAGCATTGAGTGTTGTGGTTGGAAGAATGCCTTAAATGCACGCATCAGTTGAATGTTTCACCTTTTTCACAAATCATTAGAGTTCCGTCGTTTCTTACCATCTTTCTGTTTCAGAGATGAACTATTGACTTGAAACAAAATTAACACAACCAAACATGTTTAGATCACTGTCAGCTCACAACATACTAATGGACAGATTTCTTCAGCAACTGTCAAGAAGAATGAGAGATTAGTGCATAGTTTGATATGGAACTCTCTTCACTCTTCAAACACTAAACCTTCATGAGTTGAACTTGAATCTCTGAGGATTCACAAGAAGAGTTTGAGGTTTTTCTGAGCTTTTTCTGCTTACCATTGTTTCATCATCTCAGCATGTTTGGTTATGTTGAAACCAGCATTATTGTTTCCACCAAATGCAGGCACCAGCTGGTCCATATCGAACACATCCTCCTAGTGTCCTCTTGGAGTAAACGAATTTCACTTTCTTGGCTGTTTTTGTCTCCAGGGAAGGCTTTGCAACCTGTAAACAGAACAGTACGTCATCCAGCAGTGTAAACAACAAATAATTGCAGCACGTCATCCAGCAGTGCAAACAACAAATAATTGCAGCAGGTAAACAGAAATGGCAGTTTAGTATTACTAGAACTCTACTATGGACCACTATGATCATAGTGTGAGATGAACAGTAAATTCAGACACATTTGACGGACAAGAAACCACAAGGTTCCATAATGGTTCAAAAGAGATACCTCTATCAGACGTTTAAAACTTTGAGAGGAAGTCCAAATGCTAGCGGTGAACTTAGGCTATTACAGCTGTATAGAATTGCCAATCCAAGAAGTTCGGGATGATGTTCCTGTAAAACACGTGCAGTCTCCTTTGTTGCATTCAATGAGATACTGACATGTCAAAATCCTTGAAATCAATCAGTCAGATCATACTCTCCTGGTCCGGTGGCAGATTTAAAATAGCATTCTCCATGCAATACAGATCTCACTATCAATCAAATGCATAAAACGTCATAGCTTGAGTATTGAACTAAAAACTTGTCAAAACAGACCTATAACAACATAAATAAAGAGCCTTTTGAATTAAACAATGTGGTAAAGAAACATCCTCGTCGACCATTGTGTGGACCAAAAAGAAAATAAAGTAAAAAAAAACAGAGGGAATGATCAATTCAATACGCAAGCTACTAAAAAGAAGGCACACCGGCCATGGGTCGGGGCATTAACCCAAGTCCCATGTGTAGAGTTTGTCCTGTTCAAGAATAACACGTATGCACTGCACAATTTCATACAAATATTAAATGTGGTAGGCACAGTTACAACTTAGGTAGAGAAAAGGGATGGAAACTGCCAACAAAAGAATTACTATAATTTCAAATGAAGAGGGGGGGGTATGGTATGTACATGTCAATTAGGCATTAACGTCATTCTAAGATTTTGACACCTTCAAACACAACCCCTGCTGCTGCTCCCCCAGGCCATTAGTTTCTGTACAAATTGTTTTCTATTCCAACCTGCTTTAGCCCCATATAACTTTAGCTCCCTCGCACCATATTCAAACTAAACAAGGGCTGAGCAGAGTGTGTTTCCTCAAAAAAGGTCGAGAAAACACAACGACATTGCAGCAACCCTAAACATTCTTACCTGCCTAAACTGTCATCTTTTCGTGCATTTTATTGTCCAAACCAATGTTTTGAACATCTTTAACGTGTGAATTTACCTCGGCCAGCTCCCCAGAGAGTTGATCTCCATCTACACGAGGGTTAATCATCAAAGACCATTTTTGCAAGTTACTGCAATTGAGGACAGTAATTCCACTGACCACAAGCATCCAATTCAATTCCCATTTTTAGCCCGTAGCTCTCGAGTTCTCGTGATGGAACATCCAGGTGCCGTGATTTGATCCCTAAACATGCATACATAATACTGAGAGGAAAAGAAGCTAAGTGGCCCAACTTCACGATGAGCCTCAAACAGCACGCTCACCTTACGGTATTATGCTGCCAACCCAAAAGGATCCACTAAATCAAAGAAATGGATCCTCCCCCCTCAGAACAGATGTCTGCAGATGCTGTGCAACTTATTTCATTACTGTATGCTTTTGCTCTTCTTATCTTCAATTACTTAGGTTTAAGATTTCGAGTCAATCACATACTCAGACACTGCTAAGGATCAGCATGCAAGGTAGGCTTCAAAAGCTTAGCATCATGAGGATGCACACATAACATTAACCAAGAGGTTTCCTCTGAACCATTAAAACCAATTCAAAAGCCATGATTAAATATCTCTCTTCCCAATAGTCCCAGCAGAACTTTGTCTTTTGTGCATACCATAATGCCAAGTATCTCTCAATTTGTCACCTGACTGATCGAAGTCTTCTGGGGAATTCTCTACCGCCGCCTTAGAAGGCCGGTAATTTCCATTCCTAGGGATTACCGCAGAGTTTGATTTCTCATCATCTTCCGATGGTGTTCCAGACCTGGACTCCACGTGTATATCCAGAGTCCTATGTCTTGGAAGAACTGATCTCAGACCCCTATTGTTGGAAGAGTTCTTCCCAGGCAAAGTAGATTGAGTAGACCCCTTCTGTCCGAGGAAGTCCTTGGGGAGAGATTCCATGTCCATATAACAGTTCCTTGACTTCGCATCGGTGATCAGCGCAGCCCAATCTTCAGACTGAATCAAAGCGTTAGCATTACCCATTACCTGGTTGAAAAGAACAATATCGAAGTTCAGTTTTCAAATTGTCAGATAATAGTATGTATCGAAGTATGTATCTATGTAGGTGTAAGAAAGACTGCAAAAACTTGATGGAGACAAAAATAGAAGCATACCCACAGGGCCCTCCTGGCACGAGTCAGTGCTACATTCATTCGACGAATATCTGCAACAAAGCCAACGCCATGGTTGGAGGCACGCACACAAGACATGATGATCACGTCCCTTTCTTGACCTTGGAAAGCATCGACAGTATTAATATACAGATCCTTCCCTTCTTCAGAGACCAGAACCTCCTCAAACTCACGTTGGAGGCACTTCAATTGGAGTTTGTATGGTGTTATTATACCGACAGAAACTTTGCCTATGCCTGAAGACTTCACGGTCTTTTGTAGATGTTCATAAATACGAAGACAAAATTGTGCTTCATGAGTATTTTGATATGAAACAGATCCCCCTCTATGAGATTCCCGTCCATGCGTAATATCAAAGAAAGTGTAAGGTCTAAGTAAAGGGTCCTTGTAGTATGTCTCATCAGGTAAATTAGCAACACTTTCACTGTCAGTAAGGCGTCCTTGGTAGAAGTACCTTGAAGGGAAATCACGTATTTGAGGATGCATTCTGTACTGCACTGATAACAACATAGTGGGACATCCTGCTTGCTGGAATCTTTCAAAGAGACTTCTACTGTACAACAGTGTTCCTGCTGCTTTACTGATAACTGTGGCTGGGAGCTGCTGGGGATCTCCAACAAGCACACACCTTGCTGCACCAAGAGAAAGCGGTGGAAGAACAGCTACCTCACTGGCTTGGGCGGCCTCATCAATAACTACCATGTCAAAACCATGAGAAAGCCTAGAAAATAATTTGCGACCACTGCTTGATACTGTAGTGAAAACTATCTCAGCCTCGTTGGCAAAGCTTGCCTCAAGACTAGCTCGTGCATCCTCCATATTGAAATTGCTGTTAGATCGAAACCTGCTTTCTAAAATAACAAGGCGTGACATCTCAACTAGAATTTTATCCCTACCTTCTATAACAGCAGCAAGGTTTTGCAACAATGCATCTCTATTTTGGTCACGAGCTACCAGAACATCAGGGTCAACACCAACAGATCCTTGAGAACGAACGGCAGCTGCAGCAACATTGAGTTCTCTCTGAAGATTACTGATTTGTTGAGATAATTGATTTTCACGAACCTTTAGCTGGTGCATCCATCTAAAGATTTCATCTCGACTTTTGACCAAAAGTTGCTCTGTTCTACGCTCGACTGAAACTGCTTGAGCAGCACGAGTTTGTGAATCAACACCAACTCGAGCCACATCAGGTCGATATACCTTCATCTCCCCATCAATAAACCCCCGATCAAGAACACGAGCAAGAAGCTCATCTGTTGCAGCATTTGAAGGTGCACACACTAACATTCTAGGTTTAGGACACAATGTGGGAAGAGTGCGGAAAAGATTTTGGTCCATGTTTTGGAGTACCTCATCAATGGATCCAGTAGTGATATGATCTGAGCTGCTCTCATAAGCTTGTTTATAGCTTTCTGGTGCTAGTTTCTTGAGCAAAGAAGTATAGTAATGCTGATACTGAACCAGATGTATAACATTTAGCATTCCCCAAACTGTATGGGTCTTACCTGTTCCAGGAGGACCTTGTACGAGTGTAAAAGGCCATGGCTCTTGCTTCTTGACTGTCCCGCTGCTTGTACCAGCAGCTGTATGAGTTGCTGCCCATTGGATTGCAGATAGCTGGGGTCCATTGAAGGTCCTGTGCAGATACTCAACAAAATTTTGTGTGAAACACTCTGGCATAGCAGGTGACTGTTGCTCATACTTCGGAAATTGCTCAGGACTAGGCTGAAGGATTGAAGATTGCATCTGAAACAAATGGTAAACAATTAGCAGAATGGTAACAATTTAAAGGGGAATACATAAGGTGCCCTTGAATCCAAATAAATGCAAACACCATTACCTGCACATTGAGCCGACGAAATGCATGCAGGGCGACATACTCTCGTTGGGTTGTTGCAAGAGAACCGAGCAATGTTAAAAACCAAACATTCTTTGTCTGAAATTTTCTAAGTATATGATCTTCTTCAATCCTGCTATTCAAAAAATAGTAATAATATGAAAAATCGTAGAAAATATAAGATAATATCATACAGGAAATCCTCCCCACAAGAATTTTGAAGAAAATAGGTTTTTTTTTACAAAAAGAACTTTAATAAATAGCTCCTTTTCTGGTCAAAAAAACAATAATACCACTAATGATAAGAAATCCACAACATCAAATCCATGCTGACAATGACAACTATGTAGCTTAATAACAAAAAAAACTTTTTACAAACAGAAATAAAAGTGACACAAGCTATGAGTGATGATATGCGATAACCGTAGGAGGAAAAACATTTTACTTCCTTTCAGACAATTATGTTCCTTGTAAACCAAACAACAGTTAGAATTCCAAAAAAAAAAAAACATCCTTAAAGATAAGTTTAAGCAAATCAAACCCTAATTTACCTTCTATTTTTCTACACCATTAAAAAGAACTGTCAAGTCCCGTGCAAACCTCATTCACATTCAAGACTTCATAAACCCTCTATTTTTCAGTTACTCTTCATAACTGGAACTCAAAAGTACTACCGTAGTATCAACAATGGGACTTGAAGATATCTCTGCAAGCAGTGCTAATATCTTTGTAGTGCAGCATGAGATTATAGTACTTGGAAGATACTTCCGAGTAGAATTCACATTGCACCACTCAGAACTACATTGAGAAGATACTTGACAAGTGCCTTCAAGCAGCATTATAGACGTGCATCATTAAAGGTTAACAGAAATATCACTAAGATTGAACACTGAAATAATCAATGAATTAGAACCTCACAAGTCCAATCCATCAGAATGAAAAAAGATTTTTTCTTCAAAATTATTCTACAAGAGGTATTATATACATTTTGTAAAATAATTCAGTCAACATAAAATGGCAAGGAAACAACCATCATCAAATTGAAGAAATTGAATATGAACCTACCTATTAGGATCATACGAGTCCCCAACATAAAAATGAAGGATAGCCCCTGGAGGATCACGGGTGTCAAGGGGAATGTGTCTTCGTACAGTTCCAGCCACACGTCCACCAGATTCAGGGTCTTCATCATCCTCCTCAGATA